TACAGCAACTGAGCAGCTTCACATCATTTTCTATATTTATGATTTCATATTCAAAACATTAATTTCATAGCATTAATTCTGCATGTATATTAGCATACGGCGGTCAAAAATGACAGATTTTGTTTTATATTTCAATGAAATGAAAGTACTATATTTTAGTTCGATAATGTTATTTATTTAATATTATATTTTAGCAGATTTTATGGTACTAAATTTTATTTATGTGATAGTTATGATCATGAAATTTCCAACTTAAATCCTGAATGCTTTGGAGCACAGAGTTAAATCTGGTCTCTTTTTAAAGGCTTCAGTTATTGCTTATTTCTATTGCTCTATCATTCATTAAAGAACCAGAGTTTGCTGCTGTGACTCTTCCCTCAGGTGACCAGTAGACGTGTCCGGCGGCTGCTGGATAAGAGTAAGGCGTTTCATGTGGCGTGTGGAGTCTCTATATGTGTCTTTTCAGGTGAGGTACTTTTAGGAAGTGTTGTTTTTATACATTACTCGACATCTGTAAACGAGTCGTCTTATATTTCTCTATCGTTCTTAACTCCATTACGCTGCTCGCAATGCATCATGGGATTGTAGTTCTTTCCCTCACTAAAGCTGTTAAGTTCACAGTCTTTTTGTCTGATTTTCAAATACTTTTTTGCTTCAAATCAAAGTTTGTAGTGTTATGATTCACCTCGTAGCTTATAACGCTTTAATGAAGACTTATAAGAGAAATGAATGGGAAAAATACTTCCGGAACCAACAGCGCTAAAAAAGTGGGCTGGCACTAGTGAACTTTTGCTAATGCTTTATGCTCCAAAATATGCTTTACTTGCTTTAAACGAGAAGAGTTATGCTGCAAAATATCTATTTCACTCGCGATAAAGTGTCTCAAGAACACAATGATCCTTCAAACTTTGTCAAATCCTGTGACTTCTTCCTCAGATGTGTCATAACAGCCTGGAAACTTTTTTTTTTTGTTCGTCAGGCCAAACAATCAGATGCAGCTTATCATTTTGCTAAGATTGTATCATTTTTAGTACATTATGAACCAGAGAGTCCATGAACAGCAAAACTGACTCCAGAACAGTGCAGACGGACAGCAGAGGGGGAGGAAAACAGATAATTTAGGTTGAGTCACTAGTGTGTGTGTGTGTGTGTGTGTGTGTGTGTGTGTGTGTGTGTGTGTGTGTGTTGCTGTCTGAGAGTTTGACTTGGTTAAATGACTCTGTCGTCTAATGTTACAGTGGCAGACTAGAAGGTTTTAGCGGCTGACAGGTGTGTGTGTGTGTGTGTGTGTCTGCAAGGCAAGTTTATTTATATAGCACATTTCATACACTATGGCAATTCAAAGTGCTTTACACAGAAATTATTTCAAATAATCACAAAATAAAAGCAAGGAAAATTAAAACGGTTATAAAATGAACTAAAAAAGATATATGATACAGTTATGAAATGAATTAAGAGTATAAAGATGATACACAGATAAACTTCTCATCTGGCAAAACACCGGTGTCTCATATTTTACACAACTCCCAGTTTTACTCTGAGATTTTCTCATGGTGATCACACTGTCTGTGCTGTTCTTTCGGCGCGCCTAAGTCTAGTGGACCTGATTTTTCCCTAAAAGTGTGTGTGTGTGTGTGTGAGAGAGAGAACACAGGAATATCCCGAGGGATTCCCAGCTGGTTTTGTCTTGTGTCTGAAACCCCCCTCCCATTTCCTGTCTCGTTGCATTGTGGTCTTGTTCTAATTACAGAGCTCTGAGGCATCCAGTTAACATGACAACTACAACACACACACACACACACACACACACACACACACACACACACACACACACAAGCATAAAGAGAGCCGCTGAATAGAAAAATTGTCTCCCACACATGCTTGACGTATGCTGTCATTCCTAGTGTGTTTGTGTGAGTCTCTGATGTGGTGTGTGTGTGTGTGTGTGTGTGTGTGTTTATGTCTGCAGTGGTCCATGTGTGTGCTCACCTCGTCAACATGGTCAGTTTCTCGGTGAGATATTCAGAGGATTTCCCTGCGCTCAATGTCGCTCAGTATCGAGGACAGGTAACCATTACAAAATATAGCAAGATTCCTAAATGCATTTTACACACACGGAAATGAACAATCCTTCAGAAAAACGTCCACTGATAAATAATGTTTCTGAGGGAAGTCTCTTCTGTGCACCAATGCTGGATTTATGTGATCAAAAATACAGTAAAAACAGTGATATTTTGGAATATTATTATAATTTCATATATATCATTATATATTGTAAAATGTAATTTATTCCTATATTTTCAGCATCATTACTCCAGTCTTCAGTGTCACATGATCCTTCAGAAATCACTCTAATATGATGATTTATGATTATGATGTTAAACATGAGCATTTATGATTATTGTAAGTGTTAAAAACAGTTGCGCTGCTTCATTATTTTGTGGAGACCGTGATACACTACTATTCAAAAAGTCTGAGGTCAGTAAGATTAAAAAAAATGGGGTAAAAAGGAAAGAAATTACGTTTTATTCAGCAAGAATGCATTAAATTGATTTAAAGTGACAGTGAAGACATTTATAATGTTACAAATGATTCTATTTAAAATTAATGCTGTTCTTTTGAATGTTTTTTTATCACCGTTTCCACATAAATATAAAAACACATAAAAACAGCACAACTGTTTTCTTTTTTAATAGCCTAAACATAAAGTTCAGTCCACATGATCAGCCGAACTCAATTTATCTCAGTAATCTCATTATCAGACACTTTCAATAAATAAATAAGTCATGGTTGACTGAATAAAGCATTTTAAATGTTGTATTTTTGAGGGATCCTACATTTCTCAGTATAACTCAAAATAAAATTAATAAATACACTAAAAACCTCTTTAAATCTGACGTTTAAGGCTCATAGTTTGATTTGCTGTTGTGTGTGTTTAATCTCTTCAGGATCCCAGAGTTCTCATCATCAGCACAGGTGCCTCACATTTCTTCCACATTAATATAGTGAAACCCAAATTATGATATTTAATGTAGGATGTGGACTCATTCTTTGTTAACTTTGTGAACTTTGTCTCCTTTTATTTTTGGGTTAATGTTTCCAGCTGAGGTGCTTAAATTTCTCTCTAACTGAATGAAATTAATATTTCAGGTTATTTCAGACAACTTAATGCCTAAACTTACTAAACACCCCTATGTGTTACTTTAAAATGATTTAAATGCTATTATAGTTTTTATTAATATTTCGAATACGTGTTTATATTTTTAGTTTTAATTTAAATTTATTTCATTTTGAGTAATTTTGTCATGTGCTTTTTGTGAATTTTATTAGTTTTTTTTATATTACTGTTTAATACATGTTTACATTTAATTTCAGTTGTATGTATTTATTCAAAGTTTTTATATATTTTTTTAGTTTTTATTTTAATTTTAGTATTATTTTTTTGCAATTTTTGTTGTTATTGTCTTTTAGTATTACTATTTAATTTATTTCAGTTTCAGTTTTACGGTTAATTTAAAAGTTAATCATGTTAGTGCTTCAACCTAAACTTATTTCAGTTAGTTGCCAAGGCAAGATTTCTAATTTTAAGAACGTGCGCACTGTTGACAGCAGCGCGGATTGATAGAAATGGATAGAAAATAGTGCCGATTAAAACTGAGGTATGAATTTTGACCGGTGTGTTTTTTGTGTGGTAAATTAATCAAGCTTTGAAACGCAAATAATTTTTTCACGTAAAAACGCACAGTTTTGTGGCACCGGAAAATAACCGGGAGTACTTTATTGAAAAACTTCCAGCGGCCAGAACTCTGACCAGGGAGGTGACAACAGAGTGGGTCAGTGTGTATGCACTATAGTGCTGGTAAGGATTGCATACAACTTCATGTCTTAAATGGGCGAACTAACCCTTTAATATAATAACTCTCCTCTTAGTTCCTGGAGTTACTGGCGTCCTGTTGGTGCTGGTGTTGTTTCTGATGTTCACAGCGTCGTCTTACTCTATTAGGTGAGAACCTGTAAACCTTTAAGAGTTATTTGACCTAACCCTGACCCAAGTCTCCTCTCCCTTGACAGACTTTACACACACACACACACACACACTCCACTATAATTACCGAGACCATTACCTGGAGGGGTCCGTCCCCTGTGATGGATCTCTCCATCGTCCTGCTCTAATTGAGTTCACTCTAGGACACTTCAGGAGCGTCTCGTTCAGTCGAGGAGACCTGGACACTGTGCTTTAGATGCTCTTTTATCTCGCTCTCCTTTTTTATGTGAGTGCAATTGTGTGTTTTTCTCAGAGTCTCAAGCTACGAGATATTCTGGTACACTCACAACCTCTTCATCGTGTTCTACATCATTCTGATGGTCCACGTAGTGGGGTGAGTTACTAAAGTCATTTCCTTCACACACATACAAACAAGATGATTTGTTATATAAATATTTAAGATTAAAATATTTATGCAAGATTAGAATTTGTGCATCAACACAGACAAATTATTAAAGTGGTCTTATTATGTCCTTTTTCAAAGTCTTGGTTTTGTTTTTGGGCTCTACTAGAACAGGTTTTCATGCTTTCATGCTCAAAAACACATTATTTTTCCCATATTCTCTATAGTTGCAGCTCCTCTCTTCCCAGTCTGTCAGTAACGCTCTGTTTAGTTCCTGTCTCTATGAAGCCCCTCCTTCTGAAAGCACACTGTGCTCTGATTGGTCGGCTGGATCGGTGTGTTGTGATTGGTCAAACGCTTCGAGTGTGTTTGGGAAATGTCCCGCCCCTAACCATAACCACCAGTTTCAACACACTACTAACTAACTCAACCAGGCCCCGCCCCTTTATCCTGCGTATTAATGATTTAAATGAGGAATATTGTGACGTGTTCGTTCCCAGAAGAAACTCAAGACTACAATGGAGGCGTTTCAGGGAGTTCAGAAACACTGACACTGATATAGAGAATAACTCCCGCTGGAGGGACTTTGTAACTTTGCAGAGCTTTTTCATGCTCAAACAGCAACATCACACACTAAAGAAAGATGAACATTGAAAAAAGCATAATAAGACCCCTTTAAATATTCACTGAAAATATTATGCAAGAGCTGCACAGAATTGGTGTCCTATTTCTAGATATAGCATTTCTAGGATACTTTGTGCTATAACATCCCCTGCATTGTAGAAGAAAAGTTTGAGAGAATATATATATATATATATATGTATATATATATATTTTTTTTTTACAAATGTGCAAATGTCAAACCTAAAATTTTAAGCGAAAGTGAATTTTAAAGTAATGCATTTTTTTAACTAAATTACTTTCAGTGAATAGAAGTATGCAAATTGGGATGTTTATTCCTGTACGCTTTATGGGATATGACTAGCGCCTCTCTATCCAATAGGGGAGCTTTAAAGTATCAGTCAAACGTGGAGGCCCACCCTCCTGGCTGCATGCACAGCAATCTCAGTTCAGGCTCACGGACCAATCACAGAGCAGCAGGAGAGAAGGGGGAGGAGCTATCACCACAGATGGTTTGTCAAGAAGAGGCCCGTTTCCAACCACATTTCCCACAGGTCCGTCTGTCTGATTAAGAGTAAATAATTGCATCTGGGCATGTTGTTTGTATTATATCTTTGTGTACATCAGTATGTGAATGATTATCAGTCGTTGAGTGTGTGTGTGTGTGTTTTAGACGTGGTTGTGGGTCTCGGCTCCTCTCTGCCTGTACTGTGCCGAGCGCTTGTATCGTTTCATAAGAAGCAGCGCTGCTCCTGTTACCATAGTTTCTGTCGTTAGCCATCCCTGTGATGTCATAGAATTGCGCATGCTGAAGAGAGGCTTTAAGCCCCGCCCTGGACAGGTAAGCCCCGCCTCCACACGGTTACATTAGAATTTGACACAGAATTTAGAACTTTTGAAGAGGAAATTGCTCTTCTTTAAAAAAATAAATAAAACGCCTATTAGAGAGCCTAAGTCCCACCCCTTCGCTTCCGGCTCATGGGACCTTATTTCGGAAAAATATGTATGGTAGTCAATGGCGAGAGACAACTTATCTTTTTATTCCGTCTGAACTGTGCCCTGAATTACACATATGATGTTTGTCAATTTAAAAGATAATTCTGAAAGTCAAGAAAGTCGCAGTTTGTCATGAAACAGAAGAGTAACATTTAGTTTTATGTGAAAATCACTCAATGAACTACATCTCTCTGGAAGCGAAACAACGAGCGAGATCCGCTGCTCGTGTGTGTGCAGTCTGGTACAAAACACTCAGGCATGACGGCGTAACGTTACGGTTATAACGCAAGACTATAGAAACAATGACGGACGTTAGCTTCAATAAAGTTAGCTTCAGTAAAGTTAGCTTCAGTAAAGTTAGCTTCAGTAAAGTTAGCTTCAGTAAAGTTAGCTTCAGTAAAGTTAGCTTCAGTAAAGTTAGCTTCAGTAAAGTTAGCTTCAGTAAGGTTAGCTTCAGTAAAGTTAGCATCAGTAAAGTTAGCTTTAGTAAAGTTAACATCAGTAAAGTTAGCTTCAGTAAAGTTAGCTTCAGTAAAGTTAGCTTCAGTAAAGTTAGCTTCAGTAAAGTTAGCTTCAGTAAAGTTAGCTTCGGTAAAGTTAGCTTCGGTAAAGTTAGCTTCGGTAAAGTTAGCTTCAGTAAGGTTAGCTTCAGTAAAGTTAGCTTCAGTAAAGTTAGCTTCATTCATTGAGAGAAAATGTGCGCCTTTTGGGTTTGTAGTCTTTGTAATTTTGTATTTTCACAGTCTTATACCTCAACAGTTTCACATCAAACTGCGACTTTCTTTACTTTAAATGTATCTTTTAAATTGACAAACATCATATGTGTAATTCAAGGCACAATTCAAACGAGATCAAAATATTTGTTGTCTCTCGTCATTGACTACCATACAATATTTTTCCGAAATAAGGTCCCATGGTGGTCGACCGGAAGGGGAGGGACTTAGGCTCTCTATGCCGTTCAAAAGTTTGGGGTCAGTCAAAAAAAAAAAAAAAAATTTTTTTAAAGAAAAATAATTTAATCAGCAAGGACACATTAAATTAATCAAAAGTGACAGTACAGACCTTTATAATGTTACAAATAAATGCTGTTCTTTTGAACATCCTATGCATCAAAGAATCCAGAAATAATATATCACAGTTTCCACAAAAATATCAATCAGCACAACTGTTTTCTGTGGAGAATAAAACATTTCTCACGATTCGGACTTTCTTTCTCACAATTGCAAGTTTACATCTCGCAAAGTCAGAATTATTAGATATAAACATGCAATTCTGAGAAATAAAGTCAGAATCGTGAGATGTAAACTCGCAATTGTGAGATAAAAAGTTGCAATTATCTTTAAAAAAATTTTATTCTGTGGCAGAAACAAGCTTCCAAAGTTTTCAACATTGATAATAATCATAAATGTTTCTTGAGCAGCAAATCATCATATTAGAGTGATTTCTGAAGGATCATGTGACACTGAAGACTGGAGTAATGATGCTGGAAATCCAGCTTTGATCACAGGAATAAATTACAATTTTAGATTATATTAAAACAGAAAACACTTATTTTAAAGTGTACATATATATTATATTATATATTTTATAATATTTCAGGTTTTACTGCAATTATGGTCAAATAAATGCAGCTTTGGTGAGCATTTCAAAACCATAAAAACATCTTGTTTAAGTGCTTTTCCTGTGTTTATTCAGTGTGTGTTACTCATGTGTGTTTGTGATGTGTCCTCCAGTACATCCTGCTGAACTGTCCGAGTGTGTCGTCTTTTGAAAACCATCCCTTCACTCTCACCACCGTACGTGCATTTAAGTGTGTGTTACTGCGTTCAAGTCGTGATAAATGCACATAAACACTAACACAATATCATAATGACAGTGGGAAACTCAATTAAATATAATTTATATTGGTCATAATCACATTTTAATTGCATGTTGACATTTTATAAGTGAATTATAAATGTTTGCATAAAGAATTATTCTGACCAATATCATTTTAATGCACATTGCATTGTAGTTATGATTTCCAAATGCATAAGGCAGCATATGAACATGAACAGGGCTGAAGTTATTTCGATGATGTAATGCTGGAGATTGTTATAGTATCAACTTGCTCTCTCTGAAACAACACATTTCATCATGGCCCAGGGAAATGTTAAAAGCATTAAAAAGCATATGTTCATTTTTGAAACATGCAACATTTGGCAATAAATCTCTCCATTCATACACACTTACAAAGTTTGCGTTCTCTGCCAAGAACTTTGTTACCCTCTCACACACTTTGGTTTGAGTTTTCCTTCCCCCAGGGGTCTTTAATGCATGACTGTGCCTGATCCTCACAGCCCCTGCTCTCTGTGTGTGTGTGTGTGTGTGTGTGTGTGTGTGTGTGTGTGTGTGTGTGTGTGTGTGTGTGTGTGTGTGTGTGACTGTGTTCCTCAGTGTCCGACCGGGAAGAGTGAAACATTCGGCATTCATCTCAGAGTGCTGGGAGACTGGACCTGTGAGTACACACAGACACAGACACAGACACAGACACAGACACAGACACAGACACAGACACAGACACAGACACAGACACAGACACAGACACAGACACAGACACACACACACACACACACACACACACACACACACATGTTGGTGCAACAGCATTATGAGGACTCTCCATAGGCGTAATGGTTTTTATACCGTAAAAACTATATATTCTATCCCCCTACACTGCCCCTATCCCTAAACCTACCCATCACAGGAGACATGCAGCATTTTTAATTTTTTAATAAAACATTGTTTTTTATGTTTTTTAAGCCATTTGATTTATGAGGACTTTTGAAATGTCCTCATAAACCACCCATAAGTTGTAATACCAGTGTAATACACATGTCATTATACAAATTTGTGTCCTCATAAATCACATAAACCAACTCACACACACACACACACACACACACAGACACAGACACACACACACAGACACACACACACAGACACACACACACACACACAGACACACACAAAGTCACACACACACACACACACACACACACACTCTCTCACTAATTAACACACACTCACACACACTCTCTCTCACGAACTCTCTCTCACACACACACACACACACACACACTCACTCACTCACTCACTCACACTCTCTCGCTCTGTCTTTCTCTCTCACACACACACACACACACACACACACACACACACACACACACTCTCTCTCTCTCTCTCTCTCTCTCTCTCTCTCTCTCTCTCTCTCTCTCTCTCTCTCTCTCTCACACACACACACACACTCACTCACACACTCTCTCACAAACTAACACACCCTCATACACTCTCTCTCTCTCTCTTTCTCACCTCACCTCACATCACAAAAACACACACACACACACACACACACACACACACACACACACACACACACACACACACACACACACACACACACACACACACACACACACACACACACACACTCACACTCACACAATGACACACATCCATAATAAATAAAAGACCATGTGATCTGTATTATCTAGTTCAAAGGTTTCTGTCAAAATGTGTGAGTTCGGGATTAAAACACACTCTTGCACACACATTTTTGTTGGCTCAGTCTTGTACCAGACTCTTTCCATTATGTCATACTTGAGAGATACTAGTTCCCGGAAGGAAAACACACTGTAACAAAAGAAATACCACATACCCCCTGCAAACACACATGCTTAGCGGGCGATAAAACAGGAGAAAATTAACTCTGCCGTGTCTCGAGTCAGAATATCACTGAGAGAGCCAGTAACCGACTGCCTAGCAATGACCTAGCAACTGCATAGCAACATGCTATAAACAACATGGCATCGCACAAAATACCATCTAAAATGCCTGCATAGAAATGGCTTAAAAAACACAGAACACTTTAGCAACCACTTCGTTTTAACAACAACTAGAATCTTTATAACGCCTTAGCAACTTCATAGCAACATACTAACAACTACCCAGAACCCCTTGGGAACTTCATAGCAAGGTTCTAAAAACACTTAGAAAGCAAACACCATAGCAACCACAGCAACAAACTAACAACCACCCAGAACCCCTTGGCAACTTCATAGCAACATGCTAAAAACACTTAGAACACCTTAGCAACCACATAATGTGTGAACACCCACCTAGAAGCCTTAGCAACTTTATAGCAACTCACTAACAACCACCCAGAACCCCTTAGCAACCACATAGCAATGTGCTAATACACTTAGAACACCTTAGCAACCACATAATGTGTGAACACCCACCTAGAATCCTTAGCAACTTTATAGCTACTCACTAACAACCACCCAGAACCCCTTAGCAACCACATAGCAATGTGCTAATACACTTAGAACCCCTTAGCAACCACATAGCATCATACTAGCAACCACCCAGAACACCGCTCACATTTTCTAAAAATCTAGTTGACATAAATTGTTTGTACATGCGTATAATGATTTAGTTTTTGTCTGTAAATTTCAGCGAGATTTTCTCTGCTGCTGCTTCAACAGTCGAACAGCTCAGAGATCCTTCCCATGATGCAACAGAGGCGATATCCCACGTAAGTCTGCTGCGTTGTGGGAAAAGTTTCAGTGGCGTTCATAAAGGTCGTGATCCCTCAGTATACAACACTGTATACTGGGAGGTGAAGTGTCACGACCGTCTGACGTGTAATTTCCTGGGATAACCGCAGTTTTCCTGCTTTGTGTGGGCGGGGTGTCAGGTGACAGGCTTTGACAAGATTCATCGTCCAATCAGAATCAATGACATCCTTTCCACGCACAATAATTTTTTTTTTTTTTTTTTTTTTTGCCGTTCAGCCGTTCTCTGTATGTGTGTGTACAGTGGGAAATTACTGCACATCCTCGTCCTGTGTGTATTTGTGTATGTGTGCTTGTTTTTTGTTTGTGCATTTAGCTTTCTGTTGTGTGCAAGCTTCCTTCCTACTCTGGTTTTATCAGTGGGAAACATTCTGTGGCTGTTGCAGTATTTTCTTATTAATGGGATGATTAACAGATTGATTTTGAATAGCATACCACTTGTACTAATGTTTCAGTATGCATACTGTGCATAGTATGCTAATTCTCTCCATGGAATGCACAAAGCTTTCAAAGTTCTGAACAAGAATGCAATAACATTAATAGAACATTTGTTCAAATGTTTCTGCCTGGTCTTTAAAAATATTCATTGTTTTCTGAAACATTTTTGTTAGATGTTCATCTAGAGTTTTTTTTTAAATGTTGCTATTTGTTTCAGAGAACATTAAAAAAAAACGTTCTTATGTTTGCAAGATGATAAAATTGAATATTTCCTTAACATTCGCATAACCAAGAAATTACTTATTTTTTGGCTCATTCAGAAATAATGTTTTCATAACTTAATGGGAGACAACCGTTTTTGGACCATAATTTAGCTATATGTGCAGTATGCAGAAATTATTAGAATGCAAGTATTCCATTAGTTATGTTTGAAATGGAATTATTGCTTATTGCATTAATATTCCATGCATACAGAGCATTCACATACTATGCACTGTATGCGTACTGTGAAAAAATAGCACACATAGTATGGAAGTGCGTTATTATGTGATCTTTCATGTTATCTCTCATCTCATTGGTGGTTCTGCTCTCTTGTCCCGCCCCAGGCTGCACGTGGATGGTCCGTTTGGCAGTCCGTCAGAGGAGGTGTTTAATTACGAGGTCAGCGTGTGTGTGGCGGGAGGGATCGGAGTCACACCGTTCGCCTGTGTTCTACAAGCTCTCTTGTGAGTGGTCAGACAACCTGTCAATCACGCTAACTGTGACATCAGAACATTCTTAAACACTGGTGCTGTGTTCTAAACGGAACACTTGCTTACTACAAACTGCACACACAGTACACACTGCACACTGCATTCCTGGAGCTCAAAATGGCGGAAACAATGGCAAGGTCATGTGTTTAAATCCCAGGGAAAGCATGAAGTTATAACATGTATACTTTGAATGCATTATATGTCACTTTGGATAAAAGCATCTGACAAATGCATACATGTTAAATACAGTAGTGAACATTTGAAGTGGATCAAAACCTTTCATCAAAGTCATACATGAATTTTAAACAATACCCGTTCTTACCTTAGGACAACTTTGATGAACTTTTTTGATCCACTAAAAATGTTGACTACTGTATATATATGTAAAAAAAAGTTACTTTTTGAAAAATAAAATGTGAAACAGCATGAAATAAACTTTTCAAACTGTAGTAAGCTACATTGTTGTCATATCTGACCACACCATGTCTAAATTAAGCAAGTGCTGTTTATCATCACAAAAATACTTGATTTTGCATTTATGCAAATTCTAATGCAATTTTAAACCAATATGCCTCAAATTTGTCTGTCTGATCAAATAATCTAGAGATGTAAAAAAAAATTTTATTTATTCATCACACTGTATATAGAAACTCGCAGTGGAATGCATTGCATTGTGGGATGGATCATGCATACAGAAAAGACACTGCACTTCATACATGAAAAATAGTTAGTATGGTAGTATGCCATTCAGTGTATAGCCATGTAAAAACTCCCATGTGTTTAGACTTTTAACGCATAAAAATCCACAGCAAAGTGTGTGTAAATGTGTGTGTGTTGCAGTGATGACTGGCGTCAGTATAAGTTGAGGAGGATGTACTTCATCTGGGTCTGCAGGGACCTTCAGTCCTTCTATTGGTTTGCTGATCTACTGTGTGGCCTTCATGAGAGGGTAAAACACACACACACACACACACACATGCACACACGCAGTGGCTTAAAACACATTTTTGGACACTTAAAAATGTGTGAATGTCATTGTAAAATCATATACAAAATATATCTAATTTCTGCAGTATGCATGAGTTACTGAAGGCTATACTGCCACCTACTGGCTGATGTTATGCATATGTTAATGTGTAATGTGGGCTGATATTCTGAAACTTCAGTAGTCCTACATATTTACACTATTGAAAAATCCTCTTTAACCCTATAAAGCCTACTGTATCATATTTGAGGCCTGTAAGTGATAAACATGATCAAAACTTTGCTGTAAAAACGGTTTCACATAATCTTTGTAAGCAATTAAAGGTCCTTTTATTATAATTGTACAAACGTCCACCTTAAGCTCGTGCTTTACTGATCTATATCAATGATTTTACTGATTTTTGTAAGAAAAACTTGTATATTGTCAGTAATATTTCAAGATGAACACTTAGAAAGCAAATTTTTTTTTCTTGATTATCCAGACATAATTTTTTAGAAAAATCATGAGTCTCAAATATGATCATCAGGCTTTTAAGGAAGGTTCGTCTCTCAATCATCACTGTATTGCAATACATGTTTTAAAACTACAGATCTTTGATCATAAAACTAAGCATTTAAATATGATCTTACCAAGACATTACTAGATATAGAGCGATTTTATATCAGTATCTGCTATACTGTTATAAAGATCTCACTCATTTACATTCAAATCATCAGAATTTCATCTTTCTTTTTGTCCATATAAATATCAGCATAATATCTGATTAAAATGTAGCTGTTTGAGCTCCATGTAAAAAATGATCTTGATTTTAACGGTAAAAGACTGTAAAAATGCTACAGTGCAAAACTGTTAATTGGTTAACAGAAAGTTTCCTTACTATATACGGTAAATAACTGTGATAGATCTAATGGTACATTTGATGTAATTTTACAGTAAAATACCGTTAGATTTACAGTTTTTGGAAGTGAAAAAGAACAACTCATTGTATAATTTACAGTGAAAAAAATGTAAATTGACATTCCCACTCATGACACTTCACATTTGATGTATATTCTTCATAGTTTTTTTTTGTTCTTTTCTAATCAGTTATGTACATTAGGGTTTTATGTTACATGTAATGTTGTCAAATTAGTGTTTATTGCATTTTTTTAATTTCATGTGTGTTACCATGATGGTGTTTAATGTTTGTGTGAATGACACTGTGCAGCTTCTATATATTAACATTAACTTTCTTGTGGAAGAGCTGCTTGTGATGAGCTTTGATTGATCATTTGACTCTCATTACTGCTGTGATTGGTGGTTGTCAGTGTATTACAATGGTACAAAACAGATATTAATATATATCTGTAAATTAACATTATATCAGATAATGAAATACGGTTTATTACTGTAAATGTTAAGTTAGGTCTGTAAAACCAATAACGTTGCTACCGTATTTTTGACGGTAACGTTCTGGCAACCACAGCTGCCGGTATTTTACCGTAAAAATTACGTTTTATTTTTTACAGTATGAGCCATATGAAACACTGACTGTTACTTCGTTCAGGCTTTACAGGGTTAATATCCTTCTGTGTGTGTGTGTAGCTGTGGCGGGACAATCGTCCAGACTATCTGAATGTTCAGCTCTACCTCAGTAACACTCAGGGATTACAGGTGTGCACTTTCAGCTCATTTCTTATTAGCTAGTTACTAATATTACCTTAAATTATGCACTTTTGTAGATGCAAGCTCTTTTTGTCAAATATGATTTTATATTATCCATAGCTTCATTATCAGTTGCATTTCTTCACCTTCTATCATCATATTGAAGTTTTTCCTGATTGTGTGTTTTGAAGAGCATCGGTGAGGAACGTTACCGTTTCTTGAGCTCCAGGCTTCGGATTGGTCGACCAAAGTGGAGGCTCCTTTTCCAGGAAATAGGGAGAGCCAATCAGCTGTGAGTATGATTAATGCAGCTTGAAATAATGTATTAATCTGGGCCGTTTTAATGATTGCAATAATGAACAATTGTGTGTGTGTGTCCTGCAGTAAAAGAGTGGGGGTTTTCTGCTGTGGACCCAAAGGGATCTCGAAAGCGTTACACACACTGTGCAATTCAAACGCACACTCGGGAACTGCCTTTGAGTACAACAAAGAGTCCTTCAGCTGAGGGAGCGCTAACCGACCAATCGATTAATGCCGAAAAACTGAGGAATGAGGACAAAAGCACATTCATCCTCGTCTAGAAACGAATCCTCGGACAATGAGCCGGAGAGCCAGTAAACCGTGTAGCAAGAGGGAACATGTGCAGTTTTGCTCATATTCAAGGAATGTTTGTGATTCTGCATGTGGAGTTTGTCTACATGAACCCTTTAAAACTCGTTTTCCCGTATAAAATTGGTTAAAAAGTTCTAGTTCACCCAAAGAGGAACATTCTGACATCATTTACTCACGCTTATGTCATTTCACACGTTTTATTCGCTTTTATCCAGTGTATTTTATACCTTTACAAACGCAAACTCGCACATAAACCATAAAGTACACATTCTCATTCATTTTAAATATTTATTTTGTATTTTGTACGGCACAATAGTTTTTCGACATTTGTATTGTTCATATTTTATTATTAAGATTTATTTGCTCATGAAAGTGTCCCAAATGAACTGCACTGTTATTGTAATAAGACTGCCAAAAGAATTCATTTAATCACTGATTTGTCTTTTTAATATTATTTTGTATGCATATTAAATATAAAGATACAGTACGTAAGTGTCACAGTGACTGTTGAAGCACCATAAATATCATTGGCTGACGAGATCAATACAAGCTCACCGTATTGCCATGTGAAACATAATGCATTATGCAACAATATGCATTTGGAAAATGGTAATATGACCTCACTATTGTGCATTTGCAATCGTCTCGGAAATGAAAATATTGTTTTGCAATTTAAATCCAATGTTTTAAAACAAAAAACCTAAGGAGAAAAGGAGATGTTAAAATGTATGGGAGAAATTGCTTCGGTTCATCGCACTGGAAATGAAAAGTCAAGCGCATTGCATTATGGGATGCGCTAGTTTAATCAGTTTATTCTGGTTTTATACGGCACATTTTGACTAATGTAGTGTTTACTCTACCATTGGAAATTTGGGGGTTGTTAAGATTTGTTTTTGAAATTAGTCTCTTCTGCTCACCAATGCTGCATTTATTTGATCCAAAATACATCAAAAACTGTGAAATATTACAATTTAAAATAACTTTTCTATTTGAAGATATATTTTGAAGTGTAATTTATTTCTGTGATCAAAGCTGAATATTCAGCAGCATCACTCCAGTCTTCAGTGTTCTTCTCCAAATACAATGTTCAAAAGAACAGCAATTTATTCAAATTTTTTCAACATTATAAAAATATTTTCTGTCACTTTTGATCAATTTAAAGCATTCTTGCTGAATAAAAGTATTATTTCTTCTTTCTTCTTCTGTATACTCTATAGCAAGATTAGTAAATCCTTGTGTGATTGTAAACGTAGCTCTTGTTGCATGAGCAAACTCGAGGTTTAGAGGCGAGATCTGGTCTCGTGTGTCACATGACCTGGTCAACTGTCCGTTGTCCAGACATTATAAAACGCTTAACGTGAAAAACGCTTAATGTGGCTTAAAGGAGCATTGCGGAAGTTCTGAAATTTCTTACCGTTACTGACACAAGTGGCCGTTAGAGAAACTGCAGCCAGTCTCGTGCTCGTTCTCGGCGCACACGCTCGTTGGCCGCACTAGATAAGGCTTTTTTTTCTTTCTTTTTTTTACTTACGAGGAGTTTCCGTGGGTATCTGGATTGTGCTGGAGGCTGGTCGCTTCTTTCCGTCCGCAGAGTCCATTTGAAACACTACTGCTAGCGATTGCCGCTGCTTACTAATGGCTGCCGTACGGATGTAAGCCCAAGTAGACGAGAACGCGCATATTTTGTGAATTTTCACGCCAATTCGGACCCGACTCCTCCACACACAATTGAGCCTACAGGCTGATAGAGGCAACCGTGGTGGACAGTCAAGGTGTCGTTCTTTCTATTACATTATGGTTGGCTTATAAATGTACAAATGAAGACTCTATCTTAAAGATTTTTTAAAGTAAAAACCTACACATAGCCCCTTTAATGTACTAAGACAGTGTTATTAAAAGACCAAACTCAGTAAACATCATACTAATAAAGCCTAGAATATGAACAACGCATTTAATTACACGTTAAGCATTTTCCTCCTATAGAAAACCATTATAAGAAAACGCTTAACGTGTAATTAAAATGGGTTATGTTCATATTCTGTGCTCTTCGATTCTTCTGTACATTGGTATACTTTATTAGTATGAAGTCTTTTAATAACACTGTCTTAGTACTTTAAGCCACGTTAACGGTTTTCACGTTACGCGTTGTAGAATGTCCCGAGTTGTGTGTGTTTTCCCCGTGGCTACAGCGGGTCTGTCCTCGCTGACACACACTCAGGTTTACAGTGTGGTCTGGTATGAGGCTGAACCCTCTTCTTCGCTGCTGTTCAGGAGCGGCTGTCTCTCCCCGTATCCCGACGCCTTTCGCCTCTTTGTCCTCCTGCGACACGACACGGCGATGACCGTAGCGATGATTCCCGCTACGACGGCCCCCAGGATCCCTGACGCCAGGAGCCAGCCCCAGATCTGCTGAGCTTGCTGAAGATACGGCGTCACGAACTCCTGCATGAACCGCTGACCTGCCACAGAATGAAGCAGATGAAGACAAGGCTAACGGAAGTACCTTTATGCTAATTAGAGCTAGGAAAAATAATACAATAATACAAGAAAAATATTTCTTGATCAACCCATATCGATTGTAAAATCCCAAGAATCGATCTTTTAGTCCATCACTGCTGTTTTCAGTTGATGCGTGAACAAAACTTCCCTAAACGTTCTGTTATTTGTAGGCTAGCAAATTCTGCTAATTTTATAACAAAATACAAACAATAAATATCGCTGCCTTTGACGCTCTTTGATGTGACGTGACCGATCGCTGTAGCCGCTTCATCATCTCTTACTCTTTACTAGTTATAGCATCAAATAAACATGAATGAACATCAGAAGGTATGTTGAGAGACAGTACAACTTACTATGTCTCATGTAATCGCTTAATCGGCGTTTCAACTGCGGAAAGACTCAGGGTACGTGTACACGACAACGATATGCTTACAATGGAGAAGTTTTCTACATACAGATGACACCGTTTTCAAAACGATCCCCAATCACACGGATCCGCAAAAACTACTAAAAATGCTGTATTCCTCTGCCAGGCCATTAGATGGCGATGAAACACTATAGACTGAACACGTGATACGCATGTGCATGACGTCATCGTCTTCAGAGATTCGCATTTTTGTTGTTTACACGGAGACCGTTTTCAAAAAATTGCACTTTGAAACCTGTTTTCAAAAGTTTGCGTTTTCAGGCACCCAGAAAGCCGTTGTTGTGTAAACAAACGGCTAAAACCTATACATTTTTTTATGTTTTTTGTAACGATGCACGTTTTAGTATTGAACCTTTTGGTAGACATTTAAAACCGAACGATTCGTTGGACCATTTTTCCTGCCGACCAATATTTTGTTAGCATTCGCGCTGGCGCGACCACCACAACGCTGCCCAACATCAAATGGCGTGATGAATGCGCAACTAAACTGCGCAGCGCATTCGTGCTTAAAGGACCGTTACGAGTTTGGATCAATGTCAGTGCAACGCGAGCCGATCTTGATCAAGCGACAGTAGCCATGTTTCCATCCACTTGTCAATCGAATTATATGAAGTTCGGTAAAAAACCTCATGCGAATAAAGCTGGTGAAAGTGTGTTTCCATCCAACGGCTTTAAAGCGGATAAAAACCTGTGCGTAATGACGTCACATGCTGTTTTGCGATCAAATTGGTATATCGAATTGATTTGAGACATGTTAAGGTGTTTCCATTCATTTTCTCACCGAATTGCACAACATTCAAGCCAACATTTGCGAACAAAGTTTTACTAGGCAAAATGGATCGCGCCATAATAATGTTTCCATCCGCGTTTATCGCATAAGCCATATATCGATCAAGATAAAATCAGATGAGATGATCGTATTTCATTTGAGTCGATATTCATGAAATTCAATCGAATTTTACTGTTTCCATAAGGCATTTTTCATTCGATATCACTTAATGCGGATAAAAACGTGTGGATGGAAACATCTACTGTCAGTACACAGCGCTAAGAGATCCAGAAAAGAAAGCATTCGCCACAGAAGTAGCCTAATAACATCGCTGCGAGATCTAGTGAGAAGCATTCACATTTCTCCGTTATTATTTTGACATGATGAATAAAATTGCTGCCCTCAAATGTTAATCTGGAGCCTTAAACTTAAAATAAACCTGAAATAAAATAACCTTTGTTAAGCCTATAACTACTACAATATTGCATAATATTTTTTATAAGGAGCTGTTTTTGTTTTATATGCTGCTAAGAAGAGTCGAGGATAGCTCCATCATCGTTCAAATAAAAAAAAAGTTCGTTTTAATAAATAAATAATTTTAAATCACTTTGATGTTAGTTTTAATAAATAAATAAAAATGTAAAAATAAAGGAATTTTCTCTGGCATTTCTTTCTTTTTGCTGTATCGAAAACATACCGAACCGTGTCACCACTGTATCGTATCGAACTGAACCGTGAATTTTGTGAACCGTTACACCCCTAGTTTTTAGTTGAAAACGGGTGTTGTGTAAACAGCCCCTTAAAAAGGGAAGCCATTTATAGTTGGCTAGAAAAATAAACTAGAGAAGAGCATATTGCTAAATATATGCACTATATTACATATTAATTATATCTTTAAACCTTAACCTGTTCTTTAATATAATACATTTGTATAAATCGGCCATGAAAAAAAAGCCTTAAAGCTGCAGTAGGGAGTTTTGAGAAAACGTTGACTTAGCCTGAAAATTTGCACAAGCACAACTTACAGGTCCCACCCCCTTGCTCTCTGCTGCGCTACAGCCCTCCCTCCACAGCTCGTCCTCCACAGCGGAGCCTGTCGTGAACGCGCAGGCTAGTAAACAGGGCCACCGATAACAGCGGATAAAAGTTATATGGCACATTCACTAATAGGGACTAAACGTCAATAATAAGCTTTACATTGACTATGGCCTTCCCATACTTTGACTACAAACTTGGTCCTCAAATCATTATGT